TCCTTTCTGGTTCATCCAGGTAGAAGTCCTGGCATATTATTATGCCTGAGCGCTTCTGGGATATATAGTAGCAGTTTGACCCGTAGAAAAAAGAAACTCAGCCGTTCATTTCGTAGGAGATATTTAAGCGTTTTTGTCTGTGTTAGCAATGTGATCGACTTTATACGCAGATCTTAATAATACGTTTTTTTCTTTGACGGCACTGAATAATTTTAGCCGAAACGTGAGCCGTACATTTGTTGAATGCCGCGCTTTTAATTAAATTTCTCGCCCTAGAATGATGACATGATGGCGCGAAAATTGACGCCTCTATCGTATTAGATGCGAAATATGATCAGAGATAAGTGGAATAGTGAATGTTACAAGCTTCTGAGTATCCAGCTGAGATAGGGGACTTTTAGTCCCCTATCTCAGCTTGATAAACAAAATTTTTTTGGTTGCTAAGACGGTGCGGCTCGTTATGGACTAAATAGTCATCAGGGAATTTCCACTTTAAAATATGTTATGTGATTCAGGGGCAGTTATTGCAACATGTTTGATTGTTTAGTAATCCCCGTTTTGAATAGTTTCCCTCGCAGCCGTTTGTGGATGTCATGCAATGCTCCCTGCGTGATTTCCAAAAAACGGCTGCGAGGGAGGCTACGTCTTGAACTGACATGAATAAGGGACGGACCATTAGAAAACTTATAAGGGGGGAGGGGGCGGCTAAAGTACAAAAAAACTATTCGCGCAAGGGACAATTAAATGAAAAAAAATTCATGCATGTCAATTAACCCTAAGAACTATTCATGCTATGGCCTAAACAAAATTCATACAAGGAATTTGATAACGGAAAAAAATTCCTGCGGCTCGAAAATTCCCCTCCCCCCCACCCAATAACTTTTCTAATGGTCGGTCCCTAAGCTTGACTGCTTTCAGTTTTGTTTGTGTAAGCTAGTTCAAGTACAACTTTTCTCTGTGGTTTATAAGAGATTAATTTCCAACAAGAGAGTAACTAACAAAGAAATCAACAACAAATCAACATGTATGAGGGAAAGATTATTGAAAGAACGCAAGTTTGGTAACGAGTTTGAAAATAAAACCTATTTACTCCTCTAAATTGGTTTAGATCAACAATACATATCCATTGGCAATTTAGTGGCTTAGCTTTGATTCCTGGAAAATATTAGGTAGGTCGCACTTTTTTGTTGAGGTTAGTGAGTGAGCTGGAATATCGGTAGCCAAGGATAGTTGAATTTTTTTGTCTTATAAATTTTAATTGCTCAAAATAACTTAACTGATTGCAAATAACAGTGAGTTTATTTCACAAGTTTCACTGAAATACAATATACAGTTCTTATTTGAACGCAAAATTAATAAATTACATGACACATTTTATTTACATTTTGTACAATTATAAATACATTATTCAATACTTATTTCTTAACTTACAATGCGTAATATATATCAAAAGCTTACGAGCAGGAAATGTAAGCAGTGCTTTCGCTGGCATCGCATCCTTGCATGGCGCATTTACAATGTAAAAAAAGGTGATTTTTGTGAACTAAAATTTGAGTCCGTGCCACAGTAACCTTTAACATAAACTAGTTAAAAAATTTTCATGCATCGCCTTGACCCACCCCTCCCTTCTTACTCTCAGACCTGTGTCCTTATAAATGCGTTTTTTACCGGTCCGACATGTCATTTCTCTCGAAAGCGCATTATTTACGCTCTCTGGTACTCGGGCCCGTCGTGGATCGAGGTCAAGGTGCGCAAGGCAGCTTTGGAAGTGACCTTTTCCAGTGCCCTTATTTCTAAGCTAAACATCCCCATGCTTCCTTGTACTCCTCGGTATGAGGCAACTATATGCAACGTCTAAACGTTGGACGATATCAATGATTTCGTGTTTACTAAGTGGGGTATTGAAACGGAATATACTGCACTTTTCATGTCATTTTAAGACATTGCCTTGAACAGTTATTGCACAACACAGACTTTAGACCGAGTATTCGGTTTTTGCAGAGCTGTCAAAGTCTTCTTCTTGAAAAGAGCTGCTTCCCCTGAAAAACGAAAAGATATGGATATAGCTTAAAATAATACTTCCGATAAAAAAATATAAAAATATGTTGCCTAGTTTCGGTACCATAAAGGCTCAAGACATACCTTTCCCTTGTGAAATTAATCTTGCCACACAAAGGAACTCGAAGAAATCAACAGTTCCTGAGTCGTCTATGTCAACTTCTAACATGGCTTCCTGTAAATAAAATGCCAAGTTAGCATTTTAAAGCGTAAAGCGTAAAATGTTACAAGTTTGAGGATAATCTACCAAATACGATGAGATTTGCGTCAATAAAACGAGAATGAGTGCTTTATCTGACTTCAAAAACGAGTATGAGTGTTTCACCTGATATCCAAACACGTGGAGCGAAAAAACAAACAAGTGAAGAAGTGAGTGAAAATCCTATGGTATGACCGTTGAAATGAAACCTCTTTGAAAGTACTTTTGCTTGGTGTCATTCGTTTAGGGGTATTCATTTTTGAGGATTTTAGGTCAGTTTTAACCTACAGCCTTTAACGGTGAAGGGATGACGAAACGCTGTTTATTAACCTTTATCTCTTCTGTAGTGGCCATCCTACCCAGTGTATCCGGAATGGCTCGTAAAAGCTGTTAAAAGAATTGAAAGCGATAAAAATATCAGTACTTCCCTTTAGTACTGTCTAAAACTGTGGATAGTAATCAATTACGTTTTGCCATTCAAATGAAAGTGACTTAAGCACATGCAGTGGCGGACCCAGGGGAGGGGCCCGGGGGGCCCGCCCGCCCCCTTATTGTCAGACTAAACTGAGGCCCGAAGGGCCTTAAAAAGTTTATTTTAGACCGGGCCCCCACTTATCTCAGGGTCTGGATGACTGGGCCCCTCCTTTATCTAAAGGTCTGGATCCGCCAGTGATATGGATGAGTCCGTGGATGAAATTTCATATTGTGATCTTTCACATGAAAGCTACTGAGTAGTACTTTCCTGCGGTACTGTTTATTATGTTGTACAAGAGGGTCTCAAACTTTTGAGTCTGTGAATGAAATATTATCAAGGTGTGACTGTGAAAAGTCACTGAGGAGTACTTTCACGTGAAGCTGTTGTTTACGCTGTTGGACAAGACGGTTTTGCTTTTTGTGTTGTATATCATGGCGATCAAATTTGACGTAATTTCGTCAGTTTTACTACGTAGTATATTTCTAGTTTCCCTACGCTTTTGTGAATCTTACCTCTTGGGTATCGAGATTGAAATCATCGTTTGTGTCAAACCTCTTAAATTGTTCAAACATTTCTTGAATCTAACGGAAAAGAGAGAAAGAAAACTTTACTATACCCTTGTGAAAGATGGGGTCTCACTGTTCCGTTACACACTAAAAAAATCACCGTACTGAAAAATAACTAAAACTTGGAAGTTTAATAATCGGCTTACATCTTTCTCGCTCCACTCGGGGAAGTGCTCCATAGCTTCCTTTAGTAGCGGTTTACCGATTTTTGTATCCACAAGCTGAGGATGTACACCAGTCACTAAAAAATACATAAAAACCTTTTGTACAATGAACCAGTGGCGATCAAGGGACGATTGGGGTTTGGAAATTTTCTGCGGAAACAAGGAAATTTCCATAAACACTCTCACTTTCAAAACGAGCCTAAGTGCAAAACCTCTTTTGTGATAATGAGTTAAATTTGCTTTCATTTTCTATCAATGGCTTCGCACTTAGCCTCGCTTTGAATTAGAAGATTGGGGCAACTCGGAAAAGGCTTATTAAAGATCAGGATGATCTGCATTTACTTTATTAGAGCTGATAAAAGTATAACCCAGGGTTAATTCCTATATTGGCATCAACTTCACAAAATACTTTTCCTTATAATCACAACAGATCACAACAGATCCGCCACAACAGATCACCACAGATCACAAAAGATAAGATCCGCCATTCGCCACTTAGAAACGAGAAGGGGACTGGAGCCGAAATGCGATGAACCCGCAATTGTTTCTGGGATTGTTACTGATGACACGCCGGTCAGCTGTTAGCCCATAGGCCATTTGCACGATGACGTCATTTTACTACTACGACCAGAATCCTTCATAGTTTTGCTGTCTTGTGCAAATCAAGGCTTTTGTTATTTAAACCTCGCTGGGATTTCCAAATTTAAATATGAAGGAAAAAGCGAAAAGTATTCTGGTCGTAGTAGTAAAATGACGCCATTGTGCAAATGGCCTATCTTTTTTCCCCTGTCTTTAGTAACAGTCCAAGAAGTCTTTGCAAAAGTTAATTCAGCCCAGATTCCTTCCCGTTTCTGATTTGCCGCGTTTTGGTGTTCCAAACAAACGAATTCTTTCGTTGCAACATATTTGAAAAGTCAACTTGAAACAGATCAGAGTGGAAGCTCCGCAATAAAGGCTCCGTCCACACGTATCTGGATATTTTTGAAAACGGAGATCTTTTTGCTCCGTTTTCAAAAATTTACGCGTTCACACGTAGCGTATTCGAATCGTTTTCGCCCGTCCATAGAAAACTTTAAACAATGGGAAAGTAATTCTAGTAGTAAATGATGTATGACATCATCGTATTCGAAAACTTCCGTTTTTGTCCGTCCACACGTAAACGAGAGGCCAGCGTTTTCAAAAATCTTCAGTCTCTGGAGAAAGTTTTTGAAAACATAACGTTTTCGGTGACCAAAAAAATCTCCGGTTTCAAACAAAAACGGATACTTGTGGACGGGGCCAAATAATGCAGTATTTTTAATGCACGTGCAGTCTTTTTGTTTTGATAATTAAACGTTTGTGATGCACGTGAAGTCCTGTTGTTTTGTTAATCAAATTTTTGTAATGCATGTGCAAACTTGTTGTTTGTTAATAAAATGTTTGTAATGCACGTGCAATCTTGTTGTTTTGCTAATCAAATGTTTGTGATGCACGCCAAAGAAAACTTGTTGTTTTGCCAATTAAACACTTTTTAAGCACGTGCAAACTTGTTTGTTAGCTAGTTAAACGTAAAGCTGGAGCAAAAGAGGAGCTTGAATGAGGCTTGATCGGACACACATAGAGGAAACGTCAACTTCGTTGCCTTCAATTTGTTGTATGAAGCAGCCGAGACGCAAAAATAAGGTAGGTTTAAGGCCTTAAAATATGCTGTTAAAATTGAAGGCGTTTTTCCTATTACAACGGGAATTATAAACCGTTTTGAGTGTGGACCAGTCTGGAATTCTTTGAAGCTTGACTACAATTAATTTTCAATTTTCAGTCTACCTGGTCAAATAAATTCAAACTAGCCTGAGAAGCCGTCAAATACCAAAAAGAAATAAGACATTTTCCTTTCAAACTCAACATTCTTTATATTTTGTATCAATATGAGAATGCTTTTTCGTATAACTTTGCCGATCTCATTATTATTCAGAATTTGAACAAGTTTCATTTATGCTCTCCTCAAAAGCTTGGGTAGCCTATGAAGTTGCGAGAAAATTTTTTTATCGAAACAGCTGGGTCTTCGGTAAGTATGTGTTCGTTTATATTAGAAGAGAACGTAATAGCCTGCGAAGAATACGGTCATCTCCCCTCGTTCCTCGCCGCACGTAAAGAGTCTCTAGTGGTGAGGAGTGAGGAAAGACAGCTGTATTCGCACTCTAGGAAAGTAAAATAGTCTTGCTTTTAGCTAAGTGAAAAGACTTGACTACTGACAGTAGCCCATGCTGGGGAAGTACTCACCCTTTGATGATTTCGATTTCGAAAACTTTCTGGCATAATTAGCCTTTGCGCTCGGTGATCTTCCCTCCCTCCAGCCAGTTAATAGAGGATGATTGATGTCGACCCTGCAGTTCACAGTCAAAGAAATAAAACTTTTAGTCATTCTCAATACGTCTAAAAACGTTTCTAATTCTAATAAGCTTAGACTGCAAAGAGGGACAAAAGTGTTGAGAATGTCCCTTTTTTTGGTAGTGGACATATCTTTGTCCCCTCCCCCTTTGTACTCCCCCCCTTCTCCAAACAAATATTGTATTTAAAACCCTCAAGTCTTTCTTCAACCACAAACAACATTGATTCGGGGGTTGGGTGGGGGATTTTATGGCGTTTAAACAGAAGTAGAGTATAATCAATGAATGAAATTGTTTGATAAAAGCGCTCGTTTAAGACAAGTGCGTCAACTACTTTTGTTACTGATTGTGGCTCCCGGCTTATCATAACGCAGGGCTAACAGCGATAAAAAAAAAAAAAAAAAAAAAAAAAAAAAAAAAAAAATGTTTAAGCCCCTCCAAATGTAAGCCCCCTAAACCGGTAACACAAAAAACCCCTCTGTTAAATCGCCCCTCCAAAATAAGCTCCCTGGGGGCTTGTACTTGGAAAATTTCCCTCAAATACAAAGTAAAACAAAGCAAAAACGGTAAATTTACTACCAACTATAATGCTAGCCCAATGGATTTTGAAACGCAAGTTTCCCTCCATAGATAAGCCCCTCCAAATATAAGCCCCTCCAAATATAAGCCCCTCAAAAGGGGTCTTTGAAAAATATAAGCCCCGGGCCTTATTTTCGGAATTTTACGGTAGATGAAAACTTAAGCATCTGAATGAGTTGGGCATGATTACACTGTACTTAATTTTGTATTGGCTGGGGTGTTTTTACCTGGTTTAATAGTCATCAGGGAATTTCCACTTTAAAATATGTTATGTGATTCAGTGGCAGTTATTGCAACATGTTTGATTGTTTAGTAATCCCCGTTTTGAATAGTCTCCCTCGCAGCCGTTTGTGGATGTCATGCAATGCCCCCTGCACGATATCCTAAAAACGGCTGCGAGGGAGACTATGTCTTGAACTGACATGAATAAGGGACGGACCATTAGAAAACTTATAGGAGGGGAGGGGACGGGCGAAGTACAAAAAAACTATTCGCGCAAGGGAATATTAAAGGGAAAAAAATTCATGCATGCCAACTAATCCTAAAAACTATTCATGCTTTGGCCCAAACAAAATTCATACAAGGAATTTGATAACGAAAAAAATTCCTGCGGCTCGAAAATTCCCCTCCCCCCCCCATAACTTTTTTAATGGTCCGTCCCTAAGCTTGACTGCTTTGAGTTTTGTTTGTCTTAGCTAGTTCAAGTACAAGTTTTCTCTGTGGTTGATTAGAGATTGATCAATTTCTAACAAGAGAGTAATTAACAAAGAAATTAACAACAAGTCAACATGTATGAGGGAAAGATTATTGAAAGAACGCAAGTTTGGTAACGAGTTTGAAAATAAAACCTATTTACTCCTCTAAATTGGTTTAGATCAACAATACATATTCATTGACAATTTAGTGGCTTAGCTTTGATTCCTGGAAAATATTAGTAGGTCGCACTTTTTTGTTGAGGTTAGTGTGTAAGCTGGAAGATCGGTAGCCAAGGATAGTTGAATGTTTTTGTCTTATAAATTTTTATTGCTCAAAATAACTTAACTGATTGCAAATAACAGTGAGTTTATTTCAAAAGTTTCACTGAAATACAATATCCAGTTCTTATTTGAACGCAAAATTAATAAATTACAGGACACATTTTATTTACATTTTGTACAATTATAAATACATAATTCAATACTTATTTCTTAACTTACAATGCGTTATATATATCAAAAGCTTACGAGCAGGAAATGTAAGCAGTGCTTTCGCTGGCATCGCATCCTTGCATGGCGCATTTACAATGTAAAAAAAGGTGATTTTTGTGAACTAAAATTTGAGTCCGTGCCACAGTAATCCTTTAACATAAACTAGTTAAAAAATTTTCATGCATCGCCTTGACCCACCCCTCCCTTCTTACTCTCAGACCTGTGTCCTTATAAATGCGTTTTCTACCGGTCCGACATGTCATTTCTCTCGAAAGCGCATTATTTACGCTCTCTGGTACTCGGGCCCGTCGTGGATCGAGGTCAAGGTGCGCAAGGCAGCTTTGGAAGTGACCTTTTCCAGTGCCCTTATTTCTAAGCTAAACATTCCCATGCTTCCTTGTGCTCCTCGGTATAAGGCAACTATATGCAACGTCTAAACGTTGGATGATATCAATGATTTCGTGTTTACTAAGTGGGGTATTGAAACGGAATATGCTGCACTCTTCATGTCATTTTAAGACATTTCCTTGAACAGTTATTGCACAACACAGACTTTAGAGCGAGTATTCGGTTTTTGCAGAGCTGTCAAAGTCTTCTTCTTGAAAAGAGCTGCTTCCCCTGAAAAACGAAAAGATATGGATGTGGATTAAAATAATACTTCCGATAAAAAAAATATAAAAATTTGTTGTCTAGTTTCGGTACTATAAAGG